TATTTAACAATTATACCATGAACATATACGACTGAAGCAATAATTAATTATCCTCCGTTACAATGTCTTGACAATTTGTTCGGCAAAAAACCGCTTGCATGCTGAAAATTTGAAATACCAGTTTTGTATTTTGTAAGTGAAAGAAATGGTTTTAGAACCGGTATATCTCACAGAAAAGCTCAGATATATTATACAGATGTTTGGTAGTATAGTAAGTGCTTGTTGACTGCAAATTCATTTGTCTTTCGTTGCAAACTTTTCTGAACAATTTATATTCTCAATGAACATGTTTTTTTCGTTGTTTTTTCGGTATTAATTCTTTAAAAAACTTGTATTTAAACTAATTTCTATGTAATAAATGTATTTTGCTAACCTGTCAAATTTTTTTGAGAGTTTTTCCTTGTACTATATATTATCTTTCTCAAAGCGAATATTTTCCTTTTTTCTGCTTCGCAAACTCCTATTCTGTTATCGATTGGTTCAAATATGTTAATAATAAACCTAACCACATGTTTCTGTCATTTGACATTGTTGACCTTTATCCTTCAATCACCGAAGAGCTCCTCGACAAAGTTATTAGCTGGGCTAAAACCATTACATCAATCTCTGATGACCATGTAGCTGTCATCAAACACGCACGCAAATCCTTACTTTTCCACCAAAATAAAACGTGGGTTAAAAGAAATAACGACACAATGTTCGATGTTACAATGGGTAGCTATGATGGAGCAGAGATTTGCGAACTAGTCGGATTATTCATCTTAAGTAAACTTGAGGCGAAGTTCGGAAAGAACCAAGTTGGTTTGTACAGAGATGATGGGTTGGCAATTTTGAAAGCTATAGACGAGCCAGATCAGCAGATAAAGCGAGGAAAGAACTACACGCTATCTTTAATACTATTGGCTTCAAGATAACAGCAGAGGTGAACCATCATGTTGTTAACTTCCTCGACCTCACTTTGGACTTGAAAAACGAAACATTTTGGCCTTACAGGAAACCAAACAACGACCCTCTCCACGTCGACAATATATAGATCTAACCACCCACCCTCTATCAATCTATCATCAACCATACCCCTTCCTCAATCAGCAAACGCATCTCCTCGCTCTCTTTCGATCAAGCATCCTTTGATTCTGCTGCACCATTCTACGAAGATGCGCTTAAGCGAAGCAACTACGATGTACCTCTGCAATACTCGGCCTGTGATAATTCCTCCAGTTTGCCATCTACCAACCGAAGACGTCGTAGAAACATCATTTGGTTTAATCCACCTTTCAGCAAAACAGTTCGAACTAACGTCGGTCGAAATTTCCTACAGTTAATTGATAAACATTTCCCTTCTACCAACCCGCTCCATAAGGTTTTTAACCGCAACACAGTCAAAGTTAGCTACTCCTGCATGGAGAATATCAAAACCATAATATCCCGACATAACCATCGCCTGTTAAAGAAAAACCCTACACAAAAACCTGTCCCATGCAACTGCCAAAAACCAGATGAATACCCACTAGACGGAAAGTGCAAAGTAGACAACATTGTCTATAAAGCCACGGTGACAACAACTGATGACGGAAATACAAAAGAGTATATTGGAATGACGGCCAACCCATTCAAAGAAAGATACGCCAACCACAAAACGTCATTCAACCTCTACAACCACTCGTCTGACCAAAGCTTTCGAAGTAGGTTTGGATTCTGAAGCAAAGTAGAAGAAATTACAGCATCAAGTGGTCCATCTTGAAACGAGCTGCTGCGTACACGCCTGGTGGAAAGCGATGTGGCCTCTGTTTGGAAGAGAAATTATGTATCCTGAAAGCGAAAGGAAACAATTCACTGAACACGCGATCAGAGTTTTATGCAAAGTGCTGTCACAAGGAAAAATTTAGCGCGTGCAAATTCAAACCGGTGACGATAGACAAATCTCCGCTTCAGCGAGCGACCGTTGATATTGACGAATCAAACACTAACTGAATTAATTGCCTGAAGATCGCCTTGAATAAGGCGTGAAACTTGAGTAGCAATAATTAATTATAATTAATTATATATATATATATATATATATATATATATATATATATATATATATATATATATATATATATATATATATATATATATATATATATATATATATATATATATATATATATATACACAGCCAATTTGACTAACAAATTCGGGCTGAGACCGATTGAACAAATAGTTAGTGAACCATTTCAGCTCAGTTGATTTTACGCCACATCCCATGCTACTATTAGTTCAGTAAATTGGAATGGGACACTGTGTCGAAGGTTTTGGGTAGGTCAATAAAAACAATTTTTGTTAGTAAGCAATAATCCATATTATTTTGTCCTTATAAGATTACACATCACTCCACATTAACATGCAGGCATTGCCTAATACAATTAGCAAAAGCAGCTATAGGATTGGCAAGCATATGTACGTGACATATTCATGATTCAGAGCAAAAGAACACTTAACTTTACACCAATGTTACATACTGATTTGTATATGGTTTTTGTGTTGTTTTCTGTCATATGGGTATACTTACTGGCATGGGGTGACACTACAACCAACTACATAACCCTCTACTATTTCATTTACATCAAACATTTGTTTTCAGATATATATCTGCCTATCAACAGCTGACTGGAATTATCATCATAAACAAAATTATTGTGGGATTTCCAGGTTTATAGTTCTTAAACTGTTCAGCGGACATGGTCCCCTTCCCAATAAAGAGTTGTCAGATTTTCTACGAATTTACTTCATATTGTGCGATCACTCTGCGGTCCATGCATGCCTAGTATATATGAATAGGTCCCTTTACTTGAGCCCGAATTCTTAAAAAAGGCCCAGGTTGATGAGCTGTGAATGTTCACACAAGAGTTTGTTATCGTCATCTATTTCATGAATCATCTAATTGTTCACATCCATCCGGAGGAGAAAATTGCACGAGAAATTCACAAAAAATTGCATGACAAGTGTGAAAGGGCCCTTTGAATATCCCGTTCATACTCAGTCTATCGTCTATTAAGCTCGTTGGCAGCTAACATAGCGGAAGCACCAGAATACGTTGAAGGGGTATATAAACACGAAGTATGATGAAACTCTGTTTCTCAATGTCCTTCAAATTGAGAGTAATTTTGGTATAATATTAAATAAACAAATATCAAAAATAATTTTTGAAAAATTTATAAATGAAGCTTCGGTATTATATATCATTTAAGTTCTTTGTATGTTTGCATGGCGATAAAACATATATAATAGTTTCGTTTGTGGAAACACCACGTAAATTTTTTACTAATGGAATGAGTAATAATTTAGTAATAATATTTTAGTAATTAGTAATAATTTATTACTTATTTATTTATTTATTTATGCAGTAATAAATTTACGTGGTGTTTCCACAAACAAAACTATTATATATATATATCATTTATAGAACTTTCACTTGGGGTATTCCTCAAAAAAATACTTCGAAGGATATCGTATGGCATAGATGTAGAACATTTTTTGCGTGTGCAAGTAAAATCCGTTGACTCATTCCATTAAAACAAGAACCGATTGTAATTTATTGATGATTGATAGTCGCAATTTCAAGCACTATATAAAATTTGAAACTACCCTTCAGCCCATAGATTCATAGAATGATTAAGCGGAATCATCAGAGTGTATCTGAAATACTTACCTTGTACAGTTTTAAGTAGACGCTCATCATTGCTTGGTGTAAAATCATGGGGATCGATTGGCGAAAATTTAACGTAATACTGTAGACTACTATTGTACAAAATTTTGGCTTCGCAGTCCCCAGATCTTGCAATTGTAGTTAAATTAGTACTAATATCAGTACATGGAAGAGCATCTGGCCTTTTAGAACAGAACGTCATTCCATTAATTTCTTTTTTACAGTCTTCAACACGCCCTGTTGAAACGTTAAATCTGATTTTCCATTCCCTGTGGATTACACCGTCAAGGATCTTCTCTTTATATGTATTTTTAAATTCAGTGACCTCAACTAGAAATATAGGAGAATTGCAAAAATCATTCTTGGTGTTTGTGTGATGTTACTCTGAGTGTATATCCACACCGGGCAGGCCTGAAAAATATGCCTGGCCACGGCGGGATTCGAACCTACGACCTTTGGAATACTAGCCCAATGCTCTTCCAACTGAGCTACGCGGTCAGGACGGTTCGAGTAAGCGATATTTCGGAACTGAGTCTAGTTCCTTCGATATCAGTGTAATCTAATATTTATGAAATCTGCTGTGTTGGTGTAATGTACTCACCCCACACCAACCCTACACCAACACTCACCCTACACCAACACAGCAGATTTCATCATTCTTGGGTTGAAAAGGAAATAAGACGTATTTTTTTATTTTACACTGCATGAGTGTATATCCACACCGAGCAGGCTGAAAACGATGGAAATCGAACCCGCGATCTCTGGGATACTATTCCATGAAATTTTTCAGATAAAAAGTTCTTCATGTACCTTTAACTTTAACATAAATCTGGAAAGGTGTTGGATTATATTCAACTAAGCCGTCTAAACGTTCATATAAGCCTTCCAAAAGTAGCGTCATCTTTTGGATTATTAAATCACCGTTATCCATTAGCCGGTAGTTCTTCATATCCCAAACGGATGGCTCCCCTCCCGGTTGTTTCCGAGCAATAGTATTGTTGTTAAATGACCATGTTATGGTTTTGTTCCCAGGATCAAATTCAGGATCGTTTAAGGTAACCATCTCGCCTAGTTTGGGGCGCAATGTGTACACAAAGCGATTTCCGTCTGTATAAAAGATAAAATTGATAAGATTAAATCAGACCACGGGTAAAAAGATGTCGTTAGTTAATCTTGCTAATCTTTCCTACATACGATGATACAATGTTCTCTGTTTTGTGTTACAAATCTTAAAAGAACTGACTGATTGATTATTTTGCTCTCTTCAGCGAATCGCCGGCCAAACCAACTTTGTCCCTTACTGTACCTACTGACTAGTCACTGACCCACCAGCTCATTGACTGATTGTTAATTGGGAAGGGACAACTTGCAGACAGACTGTAAGACAGATACGTATGTAACAAGTAAAATACATAAAATTGCACTTAAAATATGCATGTAAAATACTACACCACTACAGATTACTTATTTTTATAACTGATTACTATAAGATTAATATTTTACTTCCTGTTGCTTTCAACGTATGTATACCCATGTTACAAATGAAAAGTATTGTCATCCACGTCTGCATTGCGGATCTGAAAAAAAATAATCCAATTTAATGAATTAATACATTCGCAACATTACTGGCGCATAGCATTACACTCGCAGGGATTTGAGTTCGTTTTTTTTTAAAACAGGCATAAACTTCAGACACTACTACGTAAGATTGAATAAAATTTCTAAGAATAAATGAACGCTGCTTGCCTATGAGAAAACTACAGCTACATTGTAGGCATATTTGAATTAGGCTTTACAGGCCGAAACTATTTCCGACTTTCTGTTTGTATATATGGAAAGCAACAAAATGTGTGCAAAATATGGAAAGCAGAATCTCTCCGCTAGTCAGTGGGCTATCGAAGCAGAAATCGAGGCACACAACAGAGCAAGAATTCAATAAAAGAAGTAGAAAGGAATTGCGATCAGTTAGCCGGAAACCCAACAATAATACCAGTACCAGCAGCGATAGTGAATCGTGAGAATATTGTAATGCAGTCGAAAACACCCACAAACATCTTTATTGGTACGTTATCACATACCCCCGAAACATAGTTAAAGCAACAAGGACAAATTCCTATTTCAGAGATGTGAGACAACATCATCAATTAAATATGCTTCGTGAACTTGAATCTATTGATTGGAACACGATAATTATGAATAGCCATAACCTAGATGAGATAACCCTAAAATTTTATGAAATAATATGGCCAAAATTCGATAAGAGCTTCCCACTAATTAAGGTCAGAACGTCATCACGCAACCCTCCGTTCATGTCTCCTCTTGTGAACCACCTTCTGAATCAAAGGAAAAGAGCCATACAAAACGGAAATACTGAAGCAAATACACGATTGCAAGAAAAAATCAACAAGTTAATTCGGGAAAATCAATTAAGTGCAGTCAAACAGGGGTTTGGCAACCAGAAAACTGGATCGAAAAGTTGGTGGTCTAACGTAAATAGCATTACATCGAGAAAAAAGAAACATGATGTATCTGTAAGTGCTTCTCTTAACCCTAGTGAAATTAACAAATATTTTCAAAGTGTGAATACAGACCCAAATTATACGACTCCCGAGCCTCTTCAAATCTCCGAAGGAACAAGAATTCCCTCGTTGTCAATTCATGAAGTTCAACATCTTTTACGCAATCAAAAACGCTCTTCATCGGGTCCGGACAATCTGCCATATTGGTTTTGGAAATCGCTTGCTATTGAATTAGCTCCTATTGTCACAGAAATTTTTAACATGTCACTAAAAACCAGCAAAGTACCTCAGAAATGGAAATCCGCTAATTTATTACCACTCCCTAAAGAATCACCATTAAATTCGTGCAACCAGTTAAGACCAATCTCTCTGACGGACATCATCATGAGACTATTCGAGAAGTGCGTGTATAAATCTGAAATCGAACCTATCACAAGAAATAACATTGGTCCTGACCAATTTGCTTATAAAAAGGGTCACAACTCGACTATGGCTCTGATTAAATCACAACATCAATGGCTAGAGTGGCTGGATAAAAACGCTAATTATGTTAGAGTGCTGTCGTTCGATTTCAGCAAAGCATTTGACAGTGTGCCCCACGATCTTTTGTTTGAAAAAGTTAAAAAGCTACCCATTAATCCGTATGTGGTGAACTGGTTAATTAGCTTTCTAGAAAATAGAATACAAAGAGTAATGGTTGATGGAATGGTTACAGAATATTTATATATTAATCGTGGTGTCCCTCAAGGTACTGTTTTAGGCCCAGTTCTTTTCTCAATAATGGTTGATGATATTAAAACTGCTGATCCTAGTAATGCGTTAGTCAAATTTGCTGACGATTTGACGTTAGGAGTGCCTGGCAACGAAAGTGGTGACACATCTCGATCTGAAGCTGCCTGTTTACAGGATTGGGCGGAAGAGAATAGAATGCCCTTAAACTTGGAAAAAACGTACGAAATGGTTGTTCGCAGACACACCTCTGTAGTTTTGCCCGAGCTTATCCCTTCAATTAAGCGAAAAACATGGCTAAAGCTTTTAGGAGTTACTCTACAAGATAACCCGTGCAACTGGGATTTGCACTTTGAAGAAATGCTCAAAAAAGCAAGTGGACGAATGTACATTATGAGAGTTTGCAAATACTATGGACTATCAATTAAACAATTAGATCTGCTGTTTGATAGCCTAATTATGTCGATATTCACTTTTGCTATTGAGCTGTGGGGTTGTGCATACGACGGTAAATATTTGAACCAAATAGATAAATTCATTAAACGTGCACATAAGAATGGTTATATATCAAAACGAACACACATTAAAGAAATACGTGATAAGAGAGATAAGAAACTGTGGAACAAAATAACATCAACTGAGGACAATGCATTGCTTGAACTGCTGCCGGAAAAAAGTAGGTTACTTAGGCCTAGAGGGCATGAGTATGAACTCCCCCTAGTGAGAACAGAAAGATCAAAAAGGTCGTTCATAAATCGTTGTCTGTATAACTTTGTTTAGACTTTAATCTATTAAAAACTTTTTAAAACTTTTTACGCTTCTTAACTTACAATTGTAAATATAACTAGATCAATTACCTTTCGATTGTAAACTCAGACGGATGTATCTGAATATTTTAATAAAGACTATTATTATTATTATTATTATTATTGATAAAAGAACAGCGCGTAAAAATGACGGTTGATACGGGGTCTAGTATAAATGTAATTCACAAAAACTCCTTTGAAAGGTTGAAAAACATTGAGTGTACAATGGACATCATGCAGTGAAAGCATACCCTTTTAATTCGAAGTCAAAATCAAAGGAAAATTTTGTGCTTTAGTCGGATTGAAGCATAAGTTCACAATTGCCGTTATCCATGTAACCTCTGAAGGTGGTGGTTGTTTATTAAGCTCCGAACCGGCACAAGAACCCGGACTAATTAGCCTACACAAAACCATGTCGAACACTCCAGCACCATCGCCACACGTAAAATAATCACCCAATGATGAAAACCTCCAACGTATTTTAGATAACCACGCCACAGTTTTTAGTGGACTGAGTAAACTAAACGATAAGCAGGTAACACTAGCCCGCATTGACGAGGAAGTTACTCCGGTGGCACAACTAGCTCAGCGACGAATAACTTTCCATATTCGTTCAAAAAGTGGAAAATGAGATAAACTGGCTAAAACATGAGGATGTCATTGAGAAGGTACCAGAAAACACACCACCAGAATGGATTTCTCCAGTATAGTGAGCATCCCTATAAGCACAGTTAATAGAGGAGATGGTTTGGAAACTCGTTAGCATTACAATAAAATCACAATAAACCTCATTATCTATGTTCTTCAGGTTTATGCAAAAATGTGGTCTTTCATCGTCACGTGCGATTGTATTTTTCTCAAGTCAACCAATAGGAATGTTCAAAATGTCCTATTGTTAAAGTCATGGATGGGCAATTGGACAAAACCGTTGCTATTGGCTGGTTGAGCAAAAATACAATACGCACGTGACGATGAAAGACCACATTTTTGCATAAACCTGAACAAAAACATAGATAGTGAAGTTTATTGTAATGCTAATAAGTTTCCAAACCATCTCCTCTATTAACTATGCTATAAGCAAGCCGATGAAATTCTTCTGTGCATTGATATGCGTGCTGCAAATACGGCCTTTAAACAAACCAAACATTCGACACCAACTCTC